AAGTGTTAGGTGAGGAGGGTAAGTTAGTCTTCAAGGTTGGGAAGCTGAATAGTTTGAGATGGCTATAACACGTGATGGCATACCGAGCCATCGCCTCCCTCGAGGGATAATGTTAGCCAGCACATGTCAAGGTTCAAAATGTGTTTTGGTCGGTCGAATGAAAAACTGCTATTGGTTCATAAAATCGTTGACAGTCAGCTAGCAGAACTACTAGATATATGTCTGCAAGTCTTTGTTTATGGCACAGATGCATTCACTCTGTGTAATCTCACGTATCTATTCAACTCATGTTGTCACTGTTTATTTTCCCTTAAATTTTCGCTCGCTAAACTTCCATTTAGTTTTATGTCTCTACCTTTGTGTGGTGCATGGAATGTGGTAAACTAAACAGTTGGACTTCTTTGCGAAGTCATACTGAAAGTCAGGCAGAATGACACAGGCTAGGCATAACTAAATGCGAAACACTGAATAATGGTCTCCAGAATGTCAACAAATGATAATTGCAGTTCTTAATCTTGTTCTTTGCTAAATTACTCGGAACCGAAAATGGTGCGAACTACTCCACTAGATGTAATACCCTAGGACTAGAAACACTATGGCTAAGACGCCTGAGACTAAACTTAACACTTTACTATAAGCTTCTAAACCACTTAGGTTTTACCTCTACTAATGGCACTCGACTTTCAGTTGACAATGGCTACAAACTAAGACACACTAAGGGTACAGTAGCTATTGAACAATGTAAAACAGCCACCAGGCAAAGGTTTTACTTGATTAGGTATGCATAGATATGGAATAAACTACCAATGGAAATGCGTCAAGCAAGTACATTGGCCTCCTTCAAAAAGGTGCTTAATGACAAAGTACAAGAGTTTGCAAACCATAGTAGTTCAAGTTCCTATCTGAGAGCCTCCGAAATTATAGGACCATTTAATGTATAAGCTTAAATACTACACCTGTTGTTTTTTGCCTATATTTATAATTCTAGATAAAACATTAACGGTTAAGATACGTATCCGCAAACAGACAAGAAATCTCGTTTGTCAAACTACTACCCAACACAATAAGTGGAATAAAATGGACATAAACCGACAACATGAAAGAGGTATAATTCACCACAACATCACATGGACAGATGTACGCTCGTTGGGCACCATATATCCGTCACCAACTGCAACCCACCTTTCCTTAGATAATTTAATATTCTCAACTGCTGTTGGAACAGCTGAAATTCATAAACCTTCCTCATGCTAAGAAAATACCCACGAGCAGTAGAAATCCATTAATTAATGCGTCTGAAGCTTATGTATTTACTCCCAACAATGACATTGCAGATCAAATGAGATAAACACATCACTGATTTCAAAATAACACATCAATGAACTATAATTCAAGGATTCTGCACACAACGAAGTTATGTATGAAAATTGACTTCAAGCTTTATTTTTTTTCCCAGGCACTTATAATCCATCCACCAAAGACCTAGTTTTTTTGTTAATGCGAAGACAATACTTCTGTATTTCCTGATGTGTTGCACTCACTGACAATCTAGCAGATTTTTCCAACTGTGCACAGAAATGATTGTATATAAGTGAAAAGGCTGTTTTATACTACTGGGATTAACACTTATCAAGTGTATGTGTAATCTCCAGCGGACATATAAAGCATATCTTGTTGCAGCGTGTAAATTTTGATTGAATTATATGGCTCTATTTCTGTAACAATTTGATGATGCCTGTAAACTGGCGTCCCTCATGTACTGTACTATGAGAATAAATTTATTTATTTATTCATGTGCGTAAAGAGGGAATATATTATTGTAAGACGCATTTTATTGTTTTATGAGGGACTTGACTTCAAGCTTTATTTATTTTCCTAAGTATCTGTAATCCATCCAACGCATACTTGGTTTTTTTTTGTTAATGCGAAGTCAATATCTCTACATTTCTTGGTGTGTCCCATTGAATAACCAGTTATCCGATTTTTCCCACAAACTGAAGATAAAATGACAGCAACCATGTTATTTAACCGTAAATCATGTAATTTAAATATGTAACTTAAATAATACTTATCCATGGCTTTACAACTTGTGTGTCCTGCATTTGTAGGAATAATTATGTACCTTATTATATTATCATTAGTGACTATACTTACTATTCGTATGTGTAATTTATCGAATTGATGATGCCTGTAAATTGGCGTCCCTCATGTACAAAAATGAGAATATACTATTATTATTATTAAATGACAAATAAATACCTTTCAGTAACCTCTTCATCCACTCGGGATTCGTCTCCTACTTTGCAAGTGTTTTTTGTGCTTTATCACCTTTATGCTAAGCTTTAAGTTATTCAACATATGCCGTTATTGACTAAGGACCTAGATGATATTAGTTGAGTAAGGTTTCGGTCGTGCAAACACGAGTCCTGTGCAGGTGATTGGTTGCATTATCATTTCCCAAATGGTATACAGCATACTGTATATTAGGGTAAGTCTTCCGCCTTGCTTGCTGAAGGTTGTGTTCCTCAGGGTACTGTTATCTCTCCTTTTCTTTTTTCTCTCTCTTGTCTTACATGACTTTTCTCTTTCTAATGAGAGCAACTTCGTCAAATACTTTGGTGATCTGACCGTCTCACTTCCTATCATGTCACAATGTGTCACCAGGAGGACTTTATTTTTGAGTTTGTTTGTATATATACTATTGCGCATCGAGTTGCACTGTGATTCCACATGTAGCAGAAGATTATGAATACCTTGCTCTTCTCTTCTGCATAAGAAAGTTACTTCACAAGAACCGCTATATTTAACTCAGTAAGGAAAAATATGAATTTCTCCACTTCAGTGTTGTGAGTTAATTTGTGAACTGTGTAGGCCCCTAAAGTAATGCATTCGGCGTGCATGCTGAATAGTGAAATCAGGAGTGTGCATGTTGTACTAAATCTTCTGCGCTTTCTGTATGGATTCCATGTTCATGAATTGACCACTTAACAACTGCTGAGTGTTGCATGTGATCAAGCTGAAATTATAACTGATAATTCCAAGAATTTCTGTCGTTTTCATCGGCAGCGGTTCACAGCCTATTGATTTTACACAAGTACAATACCCATCGCTCACTTTAATGAGGAGACATTAACCATGATTCCAGAAAAGTAGTACGTCAGTATGTGAATTTCATGAATCTGTAGATTGCATTCCATTCACTTAATACTGAAACTAAACTATGACGGAACTGATATTTCCAAGAATGATATAATACAAGGCTCATTTCTACAACTGCCATCCTTATTTTAGTTCACTTTCATCATACATGTATTAACAAAATTGTGTGTCACTCACTTCAGGGACTTACCAGGGAAAAGTCTTGTAAACTTAGTGTATGCTAATGACATTGTCCACCTAGGTTGTGAGAAGTGACCATTGAAACTGGAAGATACGAAAAGACTACTGGTTTTTGATCGCAGTGTCTGTGCCCTTTCTTCTGTGTTAAGTAGTCTAAAATGGTGAGTAATATTGGGGTGAAGCTTAGTGTTAAGTAGAAATGTGACTTTAAACGTTGTTTATAACACAGATGCATTCACTCTGTGTAATCTTACATATCTGAGCAACCATTGTGTTCTTTCCATATCACTGTTCGTTTTCCATGACATTTATGCTCATTAGAGTTCCATTTGATTTCTTTTTTTCTCTACCTTTGTGTGCTACATGGAATGTGATAACGTAAACAGGTGCACTTGTTTGCAAGCTTCTCTGTTGAAAGTCAGTCTGTCAGAATGATCTATAGTCCAGGTATAATGAAATGCTAAAACGTGGATAAAAATAAGCAAAATGTCAACAAATGATAATCGCATTTTTTTATTCGGTTCTCGTCTAACTGAAAAAGAGTTGTCTTACAATAATTTCTCCTCCTACTCGAGATAACTTTTACACTCTGTCCCGTTACATCTCAAAAGTTGCACTTCTCCACCGAGTTCCATGTTAAAACTCAGTCAGTCGGCTTTGTCACTGCAGCTGCCTAGTGTCACAACTCACTACAGTGTTAATTGGCACAAACAACTATGAATGCCGTTTCTTAAGTACTCAATGCATTTCCCAATTCCTTAAATTGTCCAGATAAAGTGCACTGAAGAAAACATAAACCAAAAGTCAGTAACATGGACGTAAGAATTAGTGCTAATAGAAGTGAATTAGATGAGTGATTTTTTTAAACCTTTAGTACGCATAACTGAAATACTCATGTATCATTCACAAGATGCTTGTATCACAGAGGGCACTGAAACATAAACTAAGTCTAACATGAAATACCTTGGAGATGTTATTACTTCATAAGATGAGATACAATAATGTACGAGATGCTGCGAATTCAACACTGAAACATTAATACTGTTTTCGAACAAAGCAAATTATTATTACCGTAACGCTGACGCAAGAAATGGTAGCAGTCGAAAGAAATGAAATGAGTTGAAATACTAGTAATCTCCCTTATTCCGAAACAGTACTTGACTTATTTACCTATGCATTTCAACGTGTCTTCTAATTATCTTATTTTTGTCTTTGTAGACATTGCCTAAGGTGCCGTTGTACGGATCGTCTGGAAGCAGTCTTTAATTTCATCTACCTTCCGCGAAGTTTGACGTACGAAAAGTCGAAATTTTACTGACTGGAAAACGCTACAATTGGTGTTACTCATGCGGCGATACGCCAGACTAGACACGTTATAGCAACGTATGCCTGTAATAACATTACCTACATAGTAAATACAATGCTAGTTACAAAAACTCGTCATTATCTTTTCATTGCGTACTTACAAGAAAAAAACGTTCACCTTACTTCTCATACTAAGTACTGGAGATTCCGCCTGGTACTCACTTTTACTTGCTTTCTAGAAAATGCTTTCTACTATATTCGCAAATGACTATTAGACTTCTGTCACATGAAACGGTAAAACATAAGGCGTATGCAGTTTAGAAGTTAGGGTATATTTGCATTTATTGACACAAAATGTATGTACATCTTCCATTATTAGACAAGAAAATTCTCAAAGTAATTCAGAGTTGCTCGCAGTGCACTAATAGTATAATCATTACTATAATTATCCTGCATAACTGAGAAGCTTCTGTTCAATTGCCTGCGAAGTTGCAGTATCTCCATGCAGGGTTTCTTCACTGAACTTTCACGCGGCACACGACTTGGTAGCAACGGATCCTGCCAAAACCATCTGCGACACAGGCGAATTACTTTGTCAACTAAAAATATTAATTTAAATATTAGTAAGAGTTTGATTTACCTGTAAACTGAGGAATTTGAGTGTGACACAGCAGCATATGCCGGCAAGGTATTCTTTGTGCCCTAAATATTCTTCAGGTACAAGTAGAATTGGTATAATCCACTTGGTGCAGGTATATGCCGTCACCAACTCTCCATATTTCCGATATAACTGAACCTGTGATTCCAGGGCGAAGCAAATTCTGCTGGTTATCCCTGTATTCGAACCCACGTATTGAACCACCTGACCGCTTTGCCTTATTATGCGCATAACATCTGATCTCAAAGGCATGGCTTCAAAAATAACTTTAAACTACTTCAATTACCTGGTCTCACATCCTTACGTAAATTATACACATCTGTGCTCGTCAAAATTTTATTAAAATTCTCTTCAGCATATTCCAAAACATCACCGACCACAAATGTAGTCTTCACAACTGGTGCAGTATTCACCTTTTCATCCCCGAACAGGCGTCTAAAATATGGATCACCTATCATAAGACATTTTTCACATCTGTGATTGTGAACTGTTTTCGCGGAAGAAATGATAAACTCGTCCTCCTTGTAGCGTATACGGAAGCCAGATTGGCAACCGGTGTATTTCGCACTGCAGAAATAAATAATAGAATTCTTACGGTTTGACGCGTAAACCTGAACCTCTAGTTTTTCGCTTCACGCTATATGTACAACGAAAGACTACTAATTTGTACTTCAAATCCTGAGATTCATGGTCCCGTATGCACTTTTTGACTACATAATGTGTATGAGTTGCCTAGGAATACTCTGTCATACATATATACATATATTACTGATTCCAGCTGACTTAGACCATCTTCTTCTTGAACCCAAATGGTGACTAAACATAATTCCGTCAATAAGTTTTTTGATATCCACTGATATAAGAAGGGCAGGTTGGTCGCCATTGTCTCCAAGTGCCAATGCGTCCATTCGGTACCATTGTAAATGAAAACAGAAGCTTGTCAATAAAAAATTCATGAATAGCCAACAGAGTACAGTAAGCAACTTAAAAGAGACATTGACTTGGAAACTATAGCGGAAAAAAACATAAATTCCTTACCACAGTTACCGTTTTGGAAAGTTCCTGATTATAGCCATAAACATTTACTGAAACACTCGTGAACGACAAAATTGGACACAAGTGATGAAACGAAGCTCTACAGAAATCATTGAGACGCCACAAACAAGAGGATTTTAGGTGCACCCTATAATTTTCTCATGAAACACATTCTCAGGCATCCTCCTGCACCATAAGTGCCTTCAGGCCTAGAGGCAGCTTTTGACGACTATTCTTAACAAAATCAATACAAATCAAGCCAAACAGAAACCAGAATAAGGTCAAATGCAGCTACCTAGATCAAACGGAACAAATCAGCCAAACTGAAATCAACTAGACCGCGCAAATGTCCTCAAGGTAAAGCTGGAGGCGCCACTTCAAACAGGGGATATGCCTTATCAACGCCCAAAAATAACATCTTAAGTCTATTAAAACTAATTTCGGCAGAGACCAATTGAATTAAAGTTCGTCTCTAATCTTTTTCAGCTAACAAAAAATGAAATATAAACTAAAGCCTGCGGAAAATCACTCCATTTCCGAAGTTTGCGCATGCTGTAACTCCGTTTTCAAACTGTCTCTTGCGGAAAATCCAAAAAAGACCAGAGAATCCTCTGCAATAATAAGAGCTGTATATTCAGAAACCAGATATATAATAGCATGTAGTAGACTTTTTAAAACCTTTCAGAAATTTTCTTCATGATATCAAGAGTACTGGAAAGTATTACTGACGATCACACTAGGGAGCACCTCGGTGGGACTAATACACCCCATGAGGCCCAGCACGGTTTCAGGTAAGGCAGATCCTGTGTAGCAAAGCTACCACCAGCTTGGGATGATTTGACATCATGGTGGGAAATGGATGTTCCAGTTCATGTGGTCTTCCTAGACTTTGAGAAGGCATTTGACACATGACCTTCTCCTACACAAAATAAGTCAGGCAGTTATAGGAGAACCGCTTCTGTCATGGTTTAAGGACTACCTAGCTGAAAGGAAATTTTGCACTAAGGTCAATCGACCATCTTGGCACGGCTCGTCATCAGGGGAGTCACAGGGTTCTATCCTAGGACCACTGATGTTTTCCATTTTTATCAGTGACCTGCCGTGCTGTCTAAGCTGCCTAACCCTTCTGTAGGCTGAAAACGTGCGTCGGTGGCACAGTGGTTAGGACTCTCGCCGATCATGCACATGGTACGAGGTTCGATCCCCTGCCGACGCAACCTGATATCTATGGTCGGCCTGCAAAATTTGGGCTACCGATATCCATGCTGAAAATTTCATACCTGTACCAAAAAATACGGTGTGGAATCAAGCTGTAATCAAAAATAAAAAATAATATGGGGGCAATAAAGTGTTAGGAAGATTCAGATAGGCTGCAGGCAGATCTAAAGCTTCTGGAAGACTTTGCAGTGTCCAGTTGTATGAATTTCATCCTGAGAAAGTGCAGAGTGGTGAAATTACGCACATGTAGGCTGCAGAATGCAAGTTGCACCTTGTTCAACGAAAGCTTGTCCTACACAACGTCGGAGCGTTACTTAGGTGTAGTTCTAACAGAAAAAATGGACACAGGGGTGAAATACACGGGGGATGTAGCTAGGACGTATGCGGCCATACATATTACACATAGACAGTTAGATGCACTAAATCCTGAGCCCTTTCTAGGGTTGTACAAAAGATACGTCAGACCACACCTTGAAGTGCATACTATCATTGCACACCCACTTCCTAGAGGAGAGGCGAACTTTTTGGAAAGAGTCCAGAGACGGGCGACAAAAGGAGTGGTTGGTCCCCCAAATAAACCGAGTGATGAAAGTCTGAAGAAATTAGGCCTATTCACACTTAGCTACCGTTGGCTAAGGGGGGATTTGATAGCTGCCTACAAGATAAAAAATTGCCAGAATCACCCAAACGAAGGTGTTTTGCCATTGGGTAAATGTGGAAATCCCAGAAAGATAGCTCCCACTTCTTTTCACTGTGGGCTTGCCGTCCATGGAACTTCTCAACGGTAAATGTAAATACGGCGCTGTCTGTGGACACCTTTAAGCGAAGGCTGGATAATCATGCAGCGACACAAGGACTGCGTCCAAATGACCTGTCCCCTTAAAATCCCACACATCATTCACAGGTAGATAACTAAGTTCGTCGTTTTACTTCTTTACATTCTCTTCCGCCTTACTATCCTGACTACTCCAACTACTACACTTACACTTATTTTTAATGATATTACATGTATATATATATATATCAACTTCAAATTTAATTGGCTGTCTTTTTATGTTCTCTCTATTTCTTTTTCTGTCTTTTAACCTGAATAACCTGCACTAATTATATCTGTTATTATTATCTAACTGATGAAAGGATTAACTACATTCAAAAAGTCTTAACAAAGCGCATACAACAAACAAGATATAATTAATCCCAGCACTACTCTTTTGGAGTCAGCCATAGCTACGGCAGTCGAGTGGCGCGACGAACTACTCAGAATTTTACCAAAGACAGGGAAATATTACCTCACAATCAAGAAGCGGGCATAAAGAAATCGAATCGGCTCACGCCAACTCATGGAAATAATATTGGATATTGGATATGATGCGCGCCCTTAACGAAAGGGTAGTTACTGGGTATGGCATCAGCTGTTAGGAATGGTAACACTGTAGGAAGGCCTAGTATCGGTGGTGGCGAGACGATAGCTGAAGTGGAAAAAAATTTACAAGATGAACTGTCTCAGGTGATTCTTCTCTGATATTTGTAGTGTGTATTGAAAACGGTATTAAATGTAGTTGGCGGACTATTTTGCGTCACGGCGAAGTTCAACGAAAGCGTCCCATGAGTGCGAACTCCCCGGTGATCTTGAACGCATGCTAGTCGTTGGCTGGCGGCACCTGTCGTTATCATTGATGAAATATCAACGCTATTGTAGAACTTTGACAAATATCATAGGGAAGACCAGTGTAGAACTATAAAGAAGGGAAATTTTCTCGACAAAGTATGATAGCCAAAGTCAAGTTCTTTCAAAAGTTGACTTTAGAGAACAGATCAGGTACCGAGAATGCTGTGAAATATCATTCCGAATCAAATCATGCTTGCTTTTTTGGACTTGGAGGGGGTAGATACAGTATTATATTTATTTAATAGATACTTTTCTCTAAATCTTCACTGTTAGGTAGGGCTGACTTATTAAGATTTAGTGTCTAGGGTTTAAAGTTAGGAGTTAGGATTATGACTAGAGTTAAGAGTAGGTTGGAGAATGGTATCAGAAATATCAATGGCTCTCAAAGTACCATGACCTACAGTCACCTAGATGAATGAATATATCGTGCATGTCACGATTTCACTACAGATAATCTGTGTACTGACTGCAAGACATTCTTACAACAACTAAGCTATAAATATATAGTGTAATGTCATGTTTGCAATATTTTTTTAGAGTATTTTTCAACGACTATGTGACTTTTTTGTGTCTGAATTATGATTGGCTGTTCAAGGTCACTCCGGTTTTGGCTGATACTTTACCTTTGCTAGTTTATCAAAATAACGTTAACCTACTGACGCCTCCTCCCCGTTTTTATACCTGGGATTATTCCGACTCAGAAGTGAATGTATGCATTCACTCATTTTAAACAGCGGGAAGAGTGAGGGTTTTGCATTCAGATGATTTAGAAGTATTTCATAAAGGATCCTGGAGGAACTAATTAATTGCATTATTTGCATTATACTACAGATGAACTTCATTCACAATTGAAGGAGTTAATTTAACGGTCCCTCTGAATTCTCAGTTATAAGTAAATCTACAGCATGACTGGTTCGAAGTATAGGTTTTGTACAGTGGTTCGGTGGGAATACTAACCAGAAATTCTACTGCCTACCACATTGCAACACACTTGAACTTCCAAAATTTTCTAGATAACAAAATAAACTTTAAGGTGAATTCATATTAAGAAGTACATAATACATGAACCGATTTGCTGCAGTCAGCAGCGTGTACTTAATCATGCATACGCAGTCATCATATTTTAAGGATAAATATATTTATATATTTGTCAGCATTTTCAGAATCTGAGTGGTAACAATTAGTGAATACATCTGCACCATGTAAGCATCAGTCCCCATGATAGGATCCCGCATAAAATAGTATATCATCATTTCTCGCGCATATTGTGGTTCAGTATGTGATCAGTCATTTGCGTGGCTCAATGAGTCTGAAGCAGGCGCAGACGTAAGGAAGTAACTAAGGTTCTCATTCAGTTTAGTGCAGTTATAACACCCTGACAATTCATTTTTAACATCCCGAAGACCTAAACGTGGCAATGGCATTGAACTCCCGACTTAGCTCAAAACAGTAATCATTGACTACTGATTGGCGGCATGCTTTTTGTTTGACCACCCCACCTGGTTCTGTTCCAGCTAACATTGCTTAGCATGCTTTTCTTAGACACGTCAGTCTTATCTTAGGACTTAATTTTCTTAGTTAAAACATAGTCTAACCTTGTTACTACGTTGCTTCACCACCGTCAGGCAGTATACACGACCTCTGATGTTTTATCGGATGTCATTCCTGTGCCAAAAGTGACTCAAGCAGACAAACGCTAGACAAGCATTTTGTTTCAGTGCGTAGTCTCACCAGTAATCAGTCTACTACTAAGTGAAGTAGTCAACACTTATCTAAAAATCTTACAAGCATTCCTCAAGGACAAATTATAACTCAGACAACACTAGGTTCGAAGAGAGTTTGAGGTAAACAGACTACCCGTTACCATCACAATTCTCAAAGTGTCCACTCCATCGCGTACATTTTGTTCCATATCAAATTACACTTGTTTCCCCCACTTATATGGGCAGTCATCACAAATGTGGCACCCAATGTGTCACACCTACTGGAAAAAGATTAAGATAGATTTCACAGCGTTCCCTTAAAAAAGCATGAATCTGAAATGCATAAGCTGGTTTGAAACTATAAATTTACACATTCTGTAGTTCAACCCCTGCCAGAGGATATGTCGACACTACTGCGAATCAAGAAATTCTTCTTAATCACCAAGACACTGCATTGAGTCTATCTTCTGAGAATGGATTACATAATTAGTTCAGTGACTTTAACCAAGTGGATGGGATGAGCCTTATTGTTATTTAGGGAATAATAATGCCTATTTCAGACTTCCGGACTTGGCGAAGAGTCTTTTAAACACTCAATAAAGTTAACTGATGATCACTGGTCATGTGATGAGCTTGTCTCACATTTGTGCAAAAAAACAATCTGTTTCTAGCCAGCCATCTCCTCTGGTGTCTGACACTTAACCATTAACTTACCTAACAATCAGCTACAATTGACTTAGGTGTACATACAGCTGCTTCTCGTTTGAGAGTACGTCTTATCTCTAACTAGGATTTAGTGAATATATATATCCTTAACTTAACAGCAAAATTACCTGGAGTCAGTGGACCAACTCGTCCTTAAATTGCGTCATTGTAATAAGTTGAAATTCCGTTTATCATTTGGGTATACATCAGTCCATCAATTCTGACAGAGCTTGCAAAGACTGTTACAAATTTGGAATGATAAAAACCATCGAAGCCTAACGATTTAATCCCAGAAATATCTTAAGAAATATAGTAAAGGATTGTTAACTTCACTACTGAATGGTTTCAGCATAGAACTTTGCACCGATGTGCAGCAGTTCGACTCGCCACACTCCATGTAGCACACAAAGCAAAAGAAGAAACTAAAAGGAAGTGCAAAATAGAGACAGTAAACAGAGATATAAGGCAAAAAGAAAAGTAAGGTCCAAGAACCAAATAGTTTTATTGGGTATTATGAGTCACAAGGTGTAGATGCATCTACGCTGAGAACGATTTGAGACATATCACCAATTATCTCCAGCCATTAGTGTTTGCCGTCCCGATGACCCCAATCAGAAAGTCTACACCTTCCTACGTGGCTGAAACTGACTGTTGTGGATTCCATTGACTGATGAAGCCATGTTTTGGCTTGACCACCACTACCACTAGATCTTTTCCAACCTGACCCATTCTGTGTCAGCTAACTTTGCCTGTCGGGGAAAAGGATGGCTAGGCATGCGTAACACATGTCCTAATCATCTCAATCAGTGTAACTGCACAATCTCGTCGATTGATTTCCCCTCCCTCCTTACCTAGCAGTCGATGCCTAACCTCAATACTGCTCACTTTATCATACCCCATGACACAGGAGATAGAACACAGACACCGATGATCAGAGGCAGCTAACTAGACATTTTATGTCTTCCACTCTCAATGGCTATGTCTCACAGCCATAAAGGGGGACGGAGTGGACTACTGAACAGTACACACGTCGTTTGGTTGACAGCCCCCTAGATATCACGTCCACGCCAGAGACGGCGTAAACTGTCAAATGCGAAACTAGCCTGCTGAGATTTCATCAGCGATCAACCCCTTGGGATTGATGCAACTTCTCAAATAAGTGAAGTGATCAACACGCTCTCCCATTCCACTCCCTATTTCTAAGCTAGAAGTCAGTGTAATCCAGTCCTGCAGCACCATCTTACATTTGGCGGGAGCGAAAGGCATGCTAAACATTCTCAAATTGCAGTTCAAGGTGTTCAAAAGACTCTGCATTATGTCGGCGTCTTCACCTAGAAGGACTATATCATCTGCACGCTGCTGCTGGATTCAACATAGAACTTGGCACCGAAGTGCAGCAGTTCGAGTTGCCACGTTCCAAATAGCACACAAAGGTAGACAAGGAAATGAGTGAAGACAATCAATACAGTTTTGACAAGTATAAGAATGAAACAGAATGAGTAATGGTAGGAAGGAATATGAAAGTTTACAGAGACTGGATACATCTGCACCATTGACAACGGTTTTGAGCCATGTCACCTATTGTCTCCAGCCATTGATTCTTAGAGTCCCGAGGGCCCCAACCCGGAAGTCTGCATCTCCCTACCTGACTCAGTTTAACTGTCAGGGATTTCATGGATTGATGCCATGTTTTTGTTTGGCCACCACTTACTCTTTTCCAACCTGCACCTATATCAGCTAGTAATGCCCGTCGGGAGGCATGCGCAGCACGTGACCTAGCCATCTCAATCTATGTAATTTTATAGCCTCTTCGATTGATTTTCTCTCTTTGCCCAACACTACGCCTAACGTCAACATTACTTACCTTATTATACCACCTAACGCGAGAAAGAGATCGTAAACATCTGTGGTCAAAAACAGGCAATCTCTTCATGTCTTCCGCTGTCAATGGCCACGTCTCACCGCCATAGAGAAGGACGGAGCGAACTGCTCAGCAGTATACACGTCCCTTGGTTGATAGCCGAATGTCACGCCTACGCCAGAGACGGTGTAAGTTAGTGAAAGCAGCCCGAGCTTTTTGGATCCGTGCTGAGATTTCGTCACCAATCAATCCGTTGGTGCTGATACAACTTCCCAAATAGGTGAAGCGGTCAACATGTTCTATCACTTCACTCCCTATCACTAAGCTAGGAGTTGACGCAGTCCAGCAGCATATTCTAAGTCAACGAGATTATTCCCTAGTAACAAGTCAATCCCTGAGTTTCTGAAGTGAGTTAGGGTTAAGTCCATTAGTACATCTATGATGAAATTGAATAGAAATGGGGATAGTGGGTAACCCTGACGGACACCACTAGTTGTCACCAGTTCAGATGACAACTCACGGTAAGCTCTCACCTGGCTGCAATACAATACAGTTTATGTAATAGCTACATACTTTACCATCAGTTTTACCCATATTTCGAACATTAATTGATAATTAATTGATCAATGAAGGTGTTATCAATCACACAGTGAATTGGTATTAGTTGTTTCGTTTACTTACAGTTGCAATTGCATTTTAATTTATTGGGTAGTTTTTCTACTGTTTTAGTCTTAATTTTGCTAACAACTCTCACTGTCTGTTTAGACGTCATCTCTAGTGCTATTTATATAAAGCAATAAGTTCAGTAACTTTTAATGCATCTTTTCAAGATTGAATATTATGCTCGTGTTCAGTTATTCTATTCTTTAAGGTTAGTCTGTTGTTGGATATCCTACTTCCAGCTTTATTAACTGTTAGCTGTCTCTTGTTCATCTGTATATCTGAGTTATTTATGTTAGTTTGAATATTGAGACAAAGGCTGAGTAGAGGTAAGCAAACATCAGCATAACTATTCTGCCTAAGGCGAATCTCTTATAAGTAATTAAAAAAGGTGCTTATTTCCCCCTATCGTATGGCTCTCTAGACGATGTCGAAACTCAAGGTGAAATTTCTGGTAGCAAAAATGAAAGTTGGATTATCAACCAAAATAAATGAAATTCCACAAACTAGACTGCAAACTATTCATTATCATATTGATTTCCACTTTCTTTGTATACTAACTTGTCAGGTTGAAGATGAAATTCGTCTTCTTCAAGAAACCCTTGCCGCGAAAATTCGTCGATGTAATGAAATAAAGAAGACTCTTGGCTATACTTCTCTTTCAACATTACAATATGATCTCATAGAAAGCATTCATAAATTAGAAGACACTAAGACGTAAGTTTTGTTGTACATTTATCCATTTTTGACCGTTTTTTGTTACAAGTGTTACCAGAATTAGTATCTTTAGACTGTGGTTACTGCTACCAAAGAGGTGTAGAAGTAGCATTCATCCTTTCTCCCCTGCTTGTCATAGCCACCTACTATTGTAGTGATTATTGTGTATGGTTTAGTACTGAAGTGTGCTTATATTTTAGGAAGGAGTATCACTCACTGTGTTATTCAATTTGAAATGAATTTTTTGTTACATATTTAAACTCTGAGAGTTGTATTCCAATAATCATCATATTGTATGTGTGGAAAGTTTTTACATTCACAGGAAGTAGGTAGAAAAAGAACTCGGTGGTCCTCTGTTTAAATAGCATTTCACGAATAGAAAAGTACTCAAATTCATCCTTCAAAAACTGCATCCAAGAAAAGTACCCCACTAGTAAATATCTTATGTACACTTAGTCTCCCAAAAAATCAAGAAAATATTACATTCGCAAATGTTGAATGTGGTGGAATCTACTACATATTGAAAAGAAACTAACTTGAAGCTTTAATCAATAATTGCTTGCTTTCTTATACACTTCAAAATGAATCCCACCTATTTAGCAAGGATCGTTACATCATCCTAACAGTCCCAGTGTTATTAAGTGAGCGGGTTCCAACCCACGACTCAACGGTTGAGTGTCCTTCGCCTTCAGCAGAACTGGGAACGTGAAATCATGAGTTGACCACCAAAGCATACGATGAGTTAGATACCTGGTGTTATTTTATTAGATAAAATTTTGCATTATAATACTTGCTTAATAATTTAACCATTTAGTACCTGAACTAACTATTGCAGGTGAACCGCTTGAAGTTATTGATAAGTTTGTGTATCTGGGTAGTTGTGTGACTGCTGGCGGAGGGGTGACGGATGAGATTTCCGACCGTATTATGAAGGTTAGGTTGGTATACATCAAATTGAGCCACCTGTGGTACCGTCGCGACGTCAGCCTAGCTGTCAAAGGTTGGGTATACAGTGCTTCAGTGCGGGCTGTCTTGCTCTACGCCTGTGAAACCTGGCCTCTTCGATAGAGCTGCGTATTCAATCATCGCTGTCTCAGCAGGATTGCTTGCGTTCGATGGCATCATCGCGTGAGTAACTCTAAGGTTCAGTGGCGTGTGTTTAAACACAGTGCAGATCACCATTCATTGAATGTCGTTATCTGGAAACACCGGCTTCGGTGGTTTGGATATGGACTGCGAATGTCATCCCAGAGGCTTCCGTACAGGTCTCTGTTCGCTAGCCCTGGGACGGGATGGAAAACTGTTACCAAGACAGTTTATCAACGTACCAGCCATGCCAACGATATTTAGCAGACACCTCGCGAAACTTTCTTGATGTTTGTCCACTGTGGATAAAAAGTACCCCATTTTAAGGATTTATCGGTTGAGCCTATATACGTTTTTCTCGTAAATCGTTTCACTTATCATTGGTTAACCTTGCTGATAGATGTACTAATGGATATAATTCTAATCGACTTTAGCGATTTAGGCATTGACTTGTTGCCATGAAATAGTCTTGTTGCTCTAGAATATGTGGATGTTGTTGTCATCCTAGGTGAACACGCTGACAAATTAAAGAATTTTCTGAACACTTAAAGCAGAAATCTTGGTATATTTCGTGTGCGATTCACTCGTGTCAAATGTAATTTGATGCTTCAGGGCTAGACTACACTAACTCTTAGCTTCCAGATAGGGAATGTAAAGTGTTAGAGCCTGTTGACCACCTCACTCATTTGGAAAGTTACATCGGTCCTAACGAATTGATTCCTGACGAATTCTCAGCACAGATGCAAAAGGCTTGGGTGGCATTTTTCATCTCTGGATTAGATGTGATATCCGACTATCTATCAAAGGAAGTGCATTACTAAGCAGTTCTCTCCGTCCTCCTTTGGGTCTGTGAGACATGGCCATTGAAATTTGAAGATATCAAAGTGCTAGTTACCTTTGTCCACACATGTTTGTATTCATTCTCCCGTCTTAAGCGGTATAATATGATAAATAATATCAAGTGTGATGTCGGGTAGGGAGGGTAAGTCAATGTATGATATTGTGAAACTGCATGGATTGAGATGACTCAGACGTGTGCTGTGTGTCCTGACGGGCGATGTTAGCTGATATATCGTTAAGTTGGAGAATCAGAGGTGATCAAACCTGGAGTATTCACTCCGCAAAGTCTTTGACAGTTGGTTTGAGCCACGTGGAGAGATGTAAACCGCCTGATACGGATCATTGGAATTTTAAGATTCGATGGTTGGAGATTACTGTTGTTACGGCTCAGGATAATTCTGAATGGTGCAGATGTATTCACCTTTTATGGACTCTCGTATCTATTAATTCCTCGTATTTCTCCATCCTTCTATTGTTTTTCTTCCATATATTTCATTTGAATGTTTTTAAAAAAAATTTATTTCTCTGGACTTTTCTGTGCTACAGTAAATGTGACAGCTTGAACTGGTATATTCATTTATTTGTAAAGATCTATGCTGAAACTCGGTCAGTCACCTTGTCTTCTGCTCAGTTAAGCAGATTGTATCGCAAACTTTCACATAATGAAGTGTATCATTCAACCTGGTATCTGAGTGGGAAAAAGAAACTAGATAAAGTTCTTAAATAAAGCAAGAATAATAGTGGTTTGTGAAGAATAATATGGTACCATCATTTATTTCGTCGGCTTCTCATCAGCTGCTTACAGCCTAAATAAATTGTGAGGTTTACGTACAGAAAAGTTTTAACATACTTGCAAATTTTACATGTTGTCAGTTGACAGAAAGTTCCACAATTAGTGAAAAGTGCTCAGAAAATTGTGCTTATATATTTTTTACACAGGCAGTTCAAGTCAAAATAAATGTATGCATACAATGGTAAAGGAGTTACGTAATAAAGACGAGAGGTGAGTAAGATGATGAGTAACTAATAAATTTGGTAACGATGTACTGAGTTCAAATCACGTCATAGAAACAAGAGACAAGCAATATTACAGATTATAAAAAAGAGGGGTAAGGTTAAAGACAAAGATTACGTAATCAGAGTAGAGAATAAAGACATCCAGTTACCATGGCAAGGAAAGGCTAATAACTGCTTCTTTCTGAACACATAAATCTGGTTTGAAGCGTTTGATAGAAATTGCTTCGGCAAACTGCTCCCGCAGATACATGTAAATTTGTATATACAGTTGGAGTTCACATGAGAAGGATATCTATCGATTTTTGATTGCACCAAAGAGCAAGTTGTTCGATAGACGGGAACGAGCTTAGCTGCAGGATAGGCTATAGCTAGTGATGTACTCAGCCTTCTGTTGATCATCGCTGTAATGTTTTCACCTTTATAATCAAGCTGAAAGTAGATTGGCTTTTTTTCACTGTGATTTGTTTTACATTTTTGACTTCAGATCTTCCATACTTGTTGATGAACCTTTGAGGGTACCCATTGCTCTTCAATGTCTTTTCAAGAAACTCAAATTCTTCCTCTAATTTCTCTATAGAGCATATTCTTTTCGCTCTACAGTACAGAGTCTTGACTAGACCGCGTTTAAAGCTATTTGGACAAAAGCTATTGAAATGTAAGTATTGTCCTTTCTATGTAGGCTTTCGATAAATTGACTTTTGAAGACTACCGTCTTCTAGGCGTTCCATGGCAATGTCGAGGAAGTGAAACTTTCCGTACATCGTTACCAAATTTATTAGTTACTCATCATCTTACTCACCTCTCGTCTTTATTACGTAACTCCTTTACCATTGTATGCATACATTTATTTTGACTTGAACTGCCTGTGTAAAAAATATATAAGCACAATTTTCTGAGCACTTTCCACTAATTGTGGAACTTTCTGTCAACTGACAACATGTAAAATTTACAAGTATGTTAAAACTTTTCTGTACGTAAACCTCACAATTTATTTAGGCTGTAAGCAGCTGATGAGAAGCCGACGAAATAAATGATGGTACCATATTCTTCTTCACAAACCACTGTTGTTCTTGCTTTATTTAAATTCATCAAGGGGAATAAATGCATGAAGTAGATAAAGTTCGTTATTATTCATTTCACTCATGATTTTATTTTGCTAATAATCACCTTCATTGTCTGTATACTTTCTTAAATTATCCGTATTTTCACTACTCTGTTTGTAGATATATTAAAGCTAGTGAACTGTTAAACAAAGCAAAGGATAAAACAGTGAATATAGCCCAAGATACTAAAGAGAAAGTCGGGTCAACTATTTCTGCAATCCGGTAGGATTGGTTTTAGCTTTTGTAACCAGCATTATACTGACTTCTCTTTTTAAATATTTTAGTAATTCAGATGTTGTCAAGTCATTAAACGATAAAGTTGGTTCAGCTTTCTCAACAGTCAAGGTAAATTCTACCTATCCTGTATTTTTTGTTTTTGTTTTTATAAAGATGATAAGTTTGTGGTCTATTAGTCTCTAGGCTATCGCCTTCTAAGCATTGACGCATGCATTTGGACCCCGTTTTTACTCATTGAGGGGTTTAATCAGCTCCAGGCAGAAGGACAGATTTTCACAAGCCCATGATATACCTGCAGTTTACTGTCGGTAGATAGAAGTGTGAATGCCTGGATTATCCCTAATCGTCAACAAGTGTTTGAAAATGATATTAAGGACACTACATGACTTTTCTTATTCAGGAGAAATCCTTGATTAGTAGTCCAGTGGATGATTCATTAACATACGAAATTATGGGTGTTTGGTTAAAGTGTGTGTGTGTGTGACTTAGTGGCTTAAGCAGTCGACTCCCAGCCAGTACATCTAGGGTTCGTATCGCGCTCCATCTACTCAACTGACAATGAGTAGTAACATCAACCTTAAATCAATCCATTACGTGACTAATAGCCTACTACAGGTAAGATGCTTTATAGTTTTACCAGTACCGTTAATTGCTTAAGTACTCGACTTGATTAATCTGTTTTCTTAACAAATGAAATTCAATTGATGAAGATTTGTTTCTGTAGAGATGTGGTTTTCAGTTAATGATGATTCCCGAGTTCGAATTCTGCTCCACTTCAGCTTGTATAACCCGCCGGTAAAACCAGCCATCAAACAAGTGTGATGTGGAAAATCTTTTCCGGACAACATATAGTTCTAGGTAGCCCAGTGATTCAAGCAGGCAACGAGATGTGAAATATATAAAAATTATAATTTTGTATATATGTCTCAGAGAATTCATTGTGATAAAAGTTTTTTTGTATTTCCCAATGAATGAAAAAGACAAAACTATAATGATGGTTTTACTGACGTTTCGCTATGTCAAATGCTGCTAACAGCTTTATCATAGTAGTAATATTAAACCGGAATTTACAAAATCCACTCAGCTTATATATAACAACTAAATCATCGTTCATCAGCAGGGGGTCAAATTGGCCAATTGGTAAGCATAACAAAACCAGGTGTAGATTGTTGGATTTGATATAAAAGCAGCGTGTGTTTACATAATGAAATTTCTTATCACGTCCGTGTTGATTTTGTCATTTCATGGGGGATGGGGGTTCTGTAACTGGTTCTAATTCTGTTTTAGTCCATCATTCCTAGTCAAACAATTTGGATTCCATTTGATATGAAGTGCTTCTGATATTAGACGTTTCTTGTGATTTCTGAAATTTTTCTGGGTGGTGATTTCAATATTAGAACAAGACATATAAGCGAACAATATTGTTTTCAATTAGATCTTCTTCAGGCTTTACTCTAATTTACATAGATTTATATATAAAATTTTTAACCAATGACGGTGATTTTGGGAATCAAATAATAAAGATTTCAATATTGTCAAAATCAATTTTGTGACCCGATTCTATAGCGTGTAGACCTATGGTTGATGATTCTTCACACTTTTCTAGTTCAACTGGATTTCTCAGTGGTCGAAGAGATGCTCTATGGTGTTCATTTCTTCTGATTCTGATTTCTCGAGATGTTTGTCTGATGTATATCACATCACATTCCAAGCATTTTCTTTTATAGACACAATTAGAATCTTAAGGGATTTGGTGTTTTATATGGAAAAGGTTTTTTGTAGTGTGCATGTCTGATATTTTGAAGAAAACTCTGATCTCGTCCTCATTGAGTACTCTTATGATATTGTCTAACATCTCTGCTCTATATGTAATGACAACTGTTGCAGCTCATGTCTTCGGAATACGTTTTCAACCACATTTAATGTCAGTGTTGATGAAGTTCTTTAGGTAGTTGTTTTGCTCGAGAGTTTCAGTGATGTTTAATATTTCCTTTTCTTTCTCATCGGTTATCAGAGAGTGTGCTTGTATAAGAAGACTTGAAACAGCTGATACATTTGCGCCGATGGGGTGTGATGATCCGAAGTTTAGATATTTATTGGAGTGGGTTTTCTTCCTCAATATGTCCGTTTTCCTTCCTCTTAACTAGGCAGTCTAAAAATGGTAGTTCACCGATGTCTGATTCTGCTTCCGGAGCAAACTGGATTCAATGAAATAGATTGTTCAGTTTCTTCAGGAATGAACTGCGTAGATCACGTTTTAGCTTTACAAACGTATCATCTACATATCTTAACCATATTTAAGGAGTGTGTATGCCTGAAAAGATGTTATCCTCGAATCTATTCACAAAACGATCAGTGACTATTGGGGAAACTGGAGAACCCATAGCAACGCCATTTGTCTGTCTATATAAACTCCCTTTAAATGTAAAATAATTACTATTTAGAAAGAATTTTAAGGTCTTAATTATTTCACTAGTGTCAAGTGGACACCTTTGTGATAGCATTGTATATGATTCTAGTAGAATGGAAATGATATCAAAACTTTTAATGATAGGGATACAAATATATTAAAACAAAGCATATAAGCGAACAATATTGTTTTCAATTAGATCTTCAGGCTTTATTCTAATTTACATAGATTTATATATAAAACGGTTTTGAACAATGACGGTGATTTTGTGGATCAAATAATAATAATAATAATAATAATAATAATGTGGTAAATGTTTGGAACGTGGTTAATAACGATGATTATAATGATAACAAAATATTGATAATAAGGTTTATGCAGGTGGCGATAATAATAACAAAGGTAGTATGTGTATATGTAGACAATTCAATAAATAAATTAGGTCAAATCTTAAAAGTTACGTAATACTAAAGGTGAAGTGGACAGATAATCAGAGTTTATATAAATAAAATACGAAGGAGATGGAAAATAAGAAAGGGTGGGAGGGTTTTGAATAGAATTCACCTAGGCCAAGGGAGAGACAAAGGTAGAACAAACTTCTTTTGTATGCAAAGACTAGGATTGTTCTCTCGAATTCCCATAGCTTCGGCTATGTGTAAAAGACGGATTCGAATTCCGTTCGAAAGGCTCGATGGAATGCGATAGATAACTTTGAAGGCACTATTTTTGTCCACTTGGTGACCGCTATCAATCAAATGAACCAAAATAGATTTTATTTATTTATTTAAACGCAGAAAAAACTTGGTACAATATGGCACCAAGAAAGATGCGCCACACAATAATAATAAAACAACATAGATTAAAAGTGAAGATATAAATAGAAAAGGGATATAGAACTTCATTTGTAAGGAAAACAGTCATGTTTAACAAGTTCAAACAGTATTCGTTAACTATCATCAGGAAGGGAAGAAAGAAGGAAATTGCAACACGTTCGCCACTGATTACGATTCTTGGCCATATCCGATAACGTTTCGAGCTATCTCGCGGACCCCAACCATGGAGTCCTGACGCACCAACCGATGCTAATCTAGCACAAAAATCCTCCATCCCGTTCCAGGGCTAGCGTACAGAGACCTGTACGGAAGCCTCTGGGATGACATTCGCAGCACATATCCAAACCACCGAAGCCGGTGTTTCCAGATGACGACACTCAATGAATGGTGATCTCCACTGTGTTCAAACACACGCCGCCGAACCTCAGAATTACTCACGCGATGATGCCATCGAACGCAAGCAATCCTGCGGAGACAGAGATGATCGAACACGCAGTGGTCTTAACTAAATGGTCTCATGCTGAATTCCTCAAAATGCCAGACTATTGACTTCTCCCTTAGGCATAAACGAGATCTACAAACACTAGTAAGTTCTCATGAAGCCTGTTGCATTGAGGGGACTAAAATTGAAACTAAGTCTAATGCAAAATACCACGGTCTAGTTCTATCTTCCGACCTTACTTGGACATCTCATATCCTAACAATTTCTAAGAAAGTGTTCTGTCTAACCTACTACATTAAGAAACTTAGACGATCTGGAATCACCCAATCCTCAGCTCGGAGAGGCCAGGTTTCACAGGTGTAGAGCAAGACAGCCCGCACCGAAGCATTGTATACCCGACCTTTGACAGCCAGACTGACGTCGCGACGGCACCAGAGGTAGCTCAAATCGATGTATGCCACCCTAGCCTTCATTATACGGTTGGAAATCTCATCCGTCACCCCTCCGCCAGCACTCACACAACTACCCAGATACAACCGACTATCAACACTGTTCCCAACCAACAGTGGGGTTAGACAGGATTGCCCAATTTCTCTTTAACTTTGCCATCCATGACATTCTGGAGTCAGCTCTGAAGGGTTGTGCGTGAAGGTGGTGTAGATCTGCTACCTGGAGATAGACTTTTCGACCTCGAGTATGCAGACGATATCGTATTACTGTGCGATAGCATGCAGGCTGCCCAAATCGCACTTAATCAGTTGGCGATCAGTGTCTGTAAGTATGGTATGTGCTTTGCACCGTCTAAGTGCAAAGTACTGTTACAAGATTGGCAGGAGCCTGTACCTGCACTCACTCTTGCGAGTGAACCGCTTGAAGTTGTTGATAAGTTTGTGTATCTGGGTAGTTGTGTGAGTGCTGGCGGAGGGGTGACGGATGAGATTTCCAACCGTATAATGAAGGCTAGGGTGGCATACATCGATTTGAGCTACCTCTGGTGCCGTCGCGACGTCAGTCTGGCTGTCAAAGGTCGGGTATACAATGCTTCGGTGCGGGCTGTCTTGCTCTACACCTGTGAAACCTGGCCTCTCCGAGCTGAGGATTGGGTGATTCCAGATCGTCTAAGTTTCTTAATGTAGTAGGTTAGACAGAACACTTTCTTAGAAATTGTTAGGATATGAGATGTCCAAGTAAGGTCGGAAGATAGAACTAGACCGAGGTATTTTGCATTAGACTTAGTTTCAATTTTAGTCCCCTCAATGCAACAGGCTTCATGAGAACTTACTAGTGTTTGTAGATCTCGTTTATGCCTAAGGGAGAAGTCAATAGTCTGGCATTTTGAGGAATTCAGCATGAGACCATTTAGTTAAGACCACTGCGTGTTCGATCATCTCTGTCTCCGCAGGATTGCTTGCGTTCGATGGCATCATCGCGTGAGTAATTCTGAGGTTCGGCGGCGTGTGTTTGAACACAGTGGAGATCACCATTCATTGAGTGTCGTCATCTGGAAACACCGGCTTCGGTGGTTTGGATATGTGCTGCGATTGTCATCCCAGAGGCTTCCGTACAGGTCTCTGTACGCTAGCCCTGGGACGGGATGGAGGATTTTTGTGCTAGATTAGCATCGGTTGGTGCGTCACGACTCCCTGGTTGGGGTCCGCGAGATAGCTCGAAACGTTATCGGATATGGCCAAGAATCGTAATCAGTGGCGAACGTGTTGCAATTTCCTTCTTTCTTCCCTTCCTGATGATAGTTAACGAATACTGTTTGAACTTGTTAAACATGACTGTTTTCCTTACAAATGAAGTTCTATATCCCTTTTCTATTTATATTTTTACTTTTAATCTATGTTGTTTTATTATTATTGTGTGGCGCATCTTTCTTGGTGCCATATTGTACCAAGTTTTTTCTGCGTTTAAATAAATAAATAAAATCTATTTTGGTTCATTTGATTGATAGCGGTCACCAAGTGGACAAAAATAGTGCCTTCAAAATTATCTTTCGCATTCCATCGAGCCTTTCGAACGGAATTCGAATCCGTCTTTTACACATAGCCGAAGCTATGGGAATTCGAGAGAACAATCCTAGTCTTTGCATACAAAAGAAGTTTGTTCTACCTTTGTCTCTCCCTTGGCCTAGGTGAATTCTATTCAAAACCCTCCCACCCTTTCTTATTTTCCATCTCCTTCGTATTTTATTTATTTAAACTCTGATTATCTGTCCACTTCACCTTTAGTATTACGTAACTTTTAAGATTTGACCTAATTTATTTATTGAATTGTCTACATATACACATACTACCTTTGTTATTCTTATCGCCACCTGCATAAACCTTATTATCAATATTTTGTTATCATTATAATCATCGTTACTAACCACGTTCCAAACATTTACCATATTATTATTATTATTATTATTATTATTATTATTATTTGATCCACAAAATCACCGTCATTGGTCAAAACCGTTTTATATAAAAATCTATGCAAATTAGAATAAAGCCTGAAGAAGATCTAATTGAAAACAATATTGTTCGCTTATATGTCTTGTTCCAATATTAAAAATGGGAATATGCAAGGATTCTAGTATATAATGAGTTAATAGCATAGCTTGCCATAATGTCTGTCTTCATTGACTGGTGAGGCCATGTTTTGGTTTGACCGCCGCTAGCTCTATTCCAGCCTGAGCCTATATCAGCTAACATTGCCCATTGTCGAGGAAGGCGGTATCTAGGCATACGTAGCGCATGTCCTAACCATCTCAGTCGATGTAATTTCACAATTTTGTCTATTGATTTCCTCGCCTTACCTAGCACTCGACCGAAGCCTAACCTCAATATTGCTCACCTTATCATACCAATATTGCACCATAGATTTAGTGAAATAACTGTTATGCGTCTTCTTTCCGACTGATAAATTGAGAATAATCTATTATTTCAACCTTTAATCAAATTTATATATATATATATATACATATATATATCCACTTATCTAAAGTTTAACATTTAAACTCACACACATATGTGTAATATATTATTTCTAGATCATTTGTTTGGATAAGTTAACTTATAATCCAGTTGTTGCATGGATTCCATCTAAAAATACGATTCGTGTGCGTCGGTTGTATTAATGAACTGACTAACTGAGTTTCCATCTATGCATTATTGA